TCGAATTCTCCATCGATTAGTATGGCCTTCCATTTCTATTAGGAAAAAGTGTCTAGGTGAGGAAATTGAAAATACAGTCTTCAAAAAATGTAAAACTGGATTTTTCGTGCCAAAATTCAACTTTTTTCAAAAACTAATGTGAGATTCGTAATCAGCGCCAGAAACTGCATCTAGTGGTATGTTTCTCTCAGTTCTCCTCTAAAATAATTTTTTCAAAAACTTGATCAGCGAAGTCTCGAGTGGACAAGCCGCGGAGTTGAACTGGAGTTGAGATTTTTGTTGAGAGAGTTGGAGGTGGAGTTGAAAAATTTTGAGCGGAGTTGGAGTTAGAGTTGGAGTAGGAAATTTGAAAACGGAGTTGAGTTGGAGTGGAGTTGGAGTTGAAAGTCACAGGAGTTGCCCAGCCCTGGAGCGATCCATCGCTTTTACCATGAAAACTACTTAGTTATAAGTAATTTTTGATGCTGATCTCACATCTGTTATTCACTAGTGCTAATACGGGTTTCTGTTATGGGTATATGGAAAGCTGGTCTCGGGAGACGAGGAACCAACAGTTTTTATTCGAAACTTGAAGAAAAGAAAAATTATTTAGAGGCCTGGCTGTTGACTGGAGTCTTTTGCCAGAAAATCAAAAACAACTAAGTACATGAACTAGAGTTAGCCTATTAATTACATTAAAAGAGAGTGTAGGTTTTCTGTCGTAATATTGTCTTCATATCCTTCTGCTCGTCCAGTTAGTGACTTACAACAGTCTTTTAGTTTTTGTATTTTGCTTACGTGATGAATGTAAGAAGTAGATGTGTAGCGCGGCAGTCCCAGTGCTGCTCTAAGGCTCTTGTTTTGCAGAATTTGCAGCTTAGTCCATATTTCTTCGCCTGCTTTTAGAAATGCTGGTACACCAGACGTTAAAACAGATCTGATGAGAGACTTGAAAAGATTGAGCATTATTCTGTCGTTTGACTGTGGTTGTGATTTGGACAGAAATATGAGAAGATTAATTCTGGTTCTGACTTTTTCTTTGATATATGTGACGTGTTTTTTCCACGACAGTGTTTGATCGAAAATAACACCTAAGTATCGTGCGAATGGCTTTGGATGCAGTGTTGTTGCACCCACAGCCACCTTGATTGGTTTTTGTATGATTTACGTGGATGTGGAGTAAAGTGAATCATTTCTGTCTTTGTCGACTGTAGCGTTAGTTTCCAGGTCTGACACCAACGTTCAAAAACAGTTATAGATTCCTGAAGTCGCCTGTTCAAATCCGAAAGAGTGTTGCAGCTTGACCAGAGCGCTGTATCGTCGGCAAATAAGCCATGTTGCGTATGATCCGGCATTCCATTCATTGAGTCAGCGGTAAACAAGATGTATAAAAGTGGAGATAAAGGTGAACCTTGCGATGTTCCACTTCTCACGTTGAACTGTTTTGAAAGTAAGCTCTCGAGTTCGATTGTTGCTGTCCGTTCATCTAGAAAGGATATCATCCATCTTGTGACGTAGAGTGGTATGTTCAAATCGAAGAGTTTGTATATTAGACCATCATGCCACACGGAATCGAATGCTTGTTTTATATCGAAAAATATGATATGATTAGCAATAAATATGGTTTTAGTAATAAATATGATTACCTTTTTCCAAGTTACTGGCTGCGAAATTTTGCAGCCGTAGTATATTGTACATAGTGTTTTTTCGTGATCTAAAACCAGCTTGATGTCGTGGAAGGATACCTGAGACCTCCAAAATCAGCATCAATCGGTCCTTCATGATTCTCTCCATCACTTTGCCAATACAACTGAGAAGACTTATAGGCCTATAACTAGATGGATCTTCCTTCTCCTTTTTTGGTTTTAACAGAATGATTTGTGCATGTTTCCATTGGCTTGGGACACGCCCAAGAGATATGCTGCTGCTGAACAGCTTTGTTAGATGGTGAACGAGTGACGGTGTGAAGTTTTTGAGACACCTGTTGTGTACGTTGTCTGGTCCTGGTGACGTATTTTTCAACCGTTTTAAATACCACGTCACTACTTTTCCGTTATTTCTGGAGTTTCGATATTCTTTTTCTTCAATAGATTGTTTATTTTAGTCCGTACTGTATTTGTAACGTGATAGTGAAACGGAAAATCATCTTCTTTAGCTTTATAAACCTCTTGCTTGAAAAAATCTGCAAATAATTCAGCTTTTTCACTATCAGTACAAGCAGTTCTTGTTTTATACTTAAGTATACCAGCATGAGTCAGTTTAGTTCTTTTATTGGGATAGCGTTTTACTGTCGTCCAAACCTTTCCGGTGTTCATTTTGTGCTTTGTGAGTGCTTCTGTCAGGCGTCTGAATCTTAGAGTTTTTTCATTTCTCAAGGCATTGTCGAGTAGTATTTTCTGTTTGTAATTGAAAGTTTTATCGTGTGAGAAATTACTTTTCTTCCATCGTCTGTACGAACGGTGTTTTTCTTTAATTAGTTGTAGAGTAAATGAGCTGACACGATGACTAATTTCTGTGCCAGCTATCGGCACAGCTGATTTTGTGGCCGTTACTATACAGTTGGTAATGAACTGATTGTAATTTTCTAGATCAGCTGTTGTGTTAATCAACTTATTTTCGTCCCATTGCGACAAGTTTGTGTTGAGTTGCTGCCGGTAGATATACCAATCACCCGCTGCACAGTTGAAAGAAAGACGTGGTGTTACTGGTTTTACGTCGGGGTTAACGGAGAGACTGAATGTCAGTGGTTTATGGCCGCTGTTCACCCCCAAGGAGGGATGAGTTTCGACATTATTAATGAGATAAATAGTGGGAGTGGTGACGATTATCCAATCTAGTTTTTGTTGATAATTATTACGTTCGTAGGTCATCAACGGCTCGTCTATACAAGAGAAAATGTTCTCTTCCAATAAAAGAGCCAATTGACGGCCTTTACTGTTAGTTTTAGTAGAGCCCATTGATTCCAGGGCAGCGTTAATGTCACCCAACACTAATGTGTCAGGATTTGTTTGACAAAGTTGATCGAAAAGAGGAAGATAAATTGTTGCTCTTGGTGGAACATAGAGGGATGCAATGAGGAGTAATTTGCCACGTAACTCTATTTGAACACTAACTATTGCGTTAGAATCAATGGTCGTGTTCAAAAACTCGTGACATCTGATTGTGTCTCTTATCGCCAATAATACTCCTCCTCCCTTTTTTTCTTCTCTGTCGTTCCGAAAAACGGTAAAGTTTGGCAGAGAAAATTTCTGCTGAGGATAGAGGTTAGTCTCGTTCAATGAAATAACATCATAGTGCTGAAAACGAGCAATCAGTTCTTCACGGTGTTTATTTGCGGATGTGAGATTGACGTGACACATACGCATTAATTGATCATCTCATTTAAACTGTTCTGAATAGTTTTTTGAAGTCTCGGATTGTATCTTGAAACTGAAACTCGTTTCAACGAACGGGGATTTCGTTGGTAACTTTTTTGAGGAAATGGGTAAGCCGGAGCTTGTGTTTTACTAGTAGTGGTGGTCGTTGCAGCAGCATAGTATGCTGTTGCACCGGGTTTTCGAAAATATTGGGAGGTTGAAATGTCTTTTTTGCCTGCGGTGGTAGAAGTGAAAACTTCCTTCATTTCAAAACTCTAACAACCTTCATCTTCTTCACCATCCTGATTAATATATTCGTCTTCTGTTTCAAAATCAACATCTTGGTATTGGGGCGGATTTTTAGTAAATTGTGCTTTGGTGGACGGAATAGATAGTGATGAGGATAGAGTGGATAACTTTGAATCTAATCCGTCTAGTCTGTCTAAAATTCGATTGAGAACTGGCTCAATTTCAGACATAACTTTTCGAAAGACTTCTTCGACGAGATTGTCTTTGTTTAAAGACGACGACGACGAATTTTTTTGACGTGCTTTTGTCCCGTCTAGTGACGGGAACGCATGCGAATCTGTAAGATTAGGTGGCGAACGATGCTTGTTTGACGTATTTGTTGAGTAGTCGTCAACGGTTGTCTTTAGTTTTTTCACCTGTTCTTGATATTGTTTTAATCTCGTTTATTGATGTAAAAAAAAAGTAGAAAATCCAAAAGATACAAGCCACAAAAGCGGATCGAGGATCCATATACATGTGGTCACCGTAAAAAAAAAAAAGGAAGAAACAAACCCTTAACTGTTATAGATTCGCTAACCCATACTAAATAGTACAAGAGGAAAAATGAGCGAAGAAGCGAGAAAAAGAAAAGAAATATTATAAATAAATAAGTATATAAGTAAGCATA